GTTTGGGCGGCATGATTCTTGATCTAGGCGGAACCATTGCCTGGGTCCCAGAAAATTTAAACAATAGGCATCCAAGGGAGGCTCTGGTGTATTGTTGAATGGATGGCTGTCTCCAGGGCGGCCACGCCGACCTTCATGCTGAAAGGGGAACAGACAGCACAAAACACTGGAATTCCAATATCTCAGCAAGTATTCCAAACAAAACACAACCGAATGGATCCCCGAGTAGGTATGATCATTGCCGAGCTTTCCAGCACATGTTGAATGTGAGGCATTGACCCTCTTGACTTTCTGCCGACCAGTTTCTGCAACCCAACAGAACCAGCCGAACGAAGCAGGGTAGATTGTAGTGTAATTGAGGCGATTGGAACTATGAATCGCCGCTCCAGCCATAGTATATCTATCAAATACGCTTGCCACAACATGTTCGTCGGTTTTTACTTGTCTGGGCGTCCACACTGGCTTGTCCAAACGAGGGGAATAATCGCACCATGGCACCTTGATGTGCTCCAAATCGTCAATTTTGGTAGTTCGACACTGCGAACGAGTCTCCGTGTAGATATTGTCTTGATGGTGACGGTAGATATGAGCCGCATTCGGCAAATTCGTCTTCTTGACACCTATCCGTCCAGTCAAAGCAACCAACGGAACCAATCATGGTGGATTATTGTGTGATTGCGGCCCAGCAAAATATATTCAACATAATTACCGCCGCTCGCGACGTAACAAATATATCAACTATGCTTGCCACAGCCTCTGATTCCACTTTCTCTACTCATGGGGGCCAGGCCGTGCAATTTCATTGTGACCGGCGAATTTGCAACTCAATGGTCTCCGTTGAAAATTGTCGTGTAGCAACCCAGATAAGGCACATGAAATGGTGGCATTGCCTTTAGTATAATAACTGAAGCAACTTCCGCAGAAAATTCTAGCTCTATGTTGCCTTGGGACTTCGTAGACGTCCCGAAACCTCTCCAAAAGTAGTTTTCAGAGTTGTTGAGGTTCTTTAGCAGTGATTTCAGAGGTGAAAGGGGCAAATGCATCCATATCGCTTCATACAAACAAGATGGATACGGTCACGATACAGAGAATGTCCGCGACCCACGAGTTTTCCTCCAGAGGGTGATGCTTTCCTCGGCCTCGAGGCTCACCATTGCCGATGGAAGGGAAAATTGATGTGATTGAAGAATTCTCAACGGGCGAGCGCATTGAGGTGCGCGATGGGTTCGGAGACTGATGACGTACAGAAAATACCACGTTCGCGCGCAAATTTTACCAAGCGCCTCGTAGAATTTTTCGTAGAACCAAAATGGAACCAAAATGGCATTTCTACGAAAATGGAACCAAAATGGCATCCCAGACATCACTTTGTCAACGTTACCATGTGCCGATACTACAGTACTGAGGGAATACGTAACAAAGCTGGCCTATAACCTACATCCAAGCATATACTACATTAACTCGACTCTGCGTCTTATTTAATTTATCCCACTCTCTTCGCCATTCTCATCAACATCTTCATCGATTGCCATCAGCAACTGACACGGCAACACGAAACCATAGTAGCTCTCCAACATAACAATCAACAGACCTTAGACCTTGGGGACAAAGGAAAGGAAGGGAAAGGAGAAGGAATCCTTCAATTGTCACTGTTCGGCCGTGTCGTTTCGAGCCTCTTTTGTAGTAGCTTGTATCATTTTCTCGATAGCAGCTATCCCACCACTTCTTTGACCTTGCAGGAATGCAAATGGACAATCGATCTGGTGGTACACGTTCTCTTCCCTCCGCGAGGCCCTTGCGCGCTCAAAAGCATCGTGGGAGCCTAGTCATGTGTATGGTCACCTTGACCACGCCACGCCCTTTTCGTCCCTGTCTTGGTGGTCCAAAAGGAATGTTGAAGTGGATAATTGGGCAGTGGCATACCGCCACCAGTTGGAGGCTTCTAATCAACTGATTGCACCCAATTCTCGCTTCTTTACTGAGTTGGCCGCTCTCTACATCGGAGGCGTTAAGCAGTCTCGATTGGACCCAGACTACATCCAAGAGCTGGTGGCGCTTCCCGCCCTTCGCAAGAGGTGGCACGAGAAACTCACGGTCACCCCTGAGGCGGAGTCGGAAACCGACTGGCCCAGTCTGGCCCGGGCCATGCGATCTCTCCCCGCGGGCGTCCAACGCTGGACCACAAAGCACGTGGTGGGTATGTGCGGTGTCGGCAAGTTTAAGGTACGAT